CTAGTGGCAGAATGAAGACTAAACGGGTCTCCAAAAATCATTGAGTAATGTGGATGAGCAGCCGGAGGCGGCACTTGTGCCAGTGACTGCAGGTAAGTCCCTAAAAACGCAAGCAAAAATTACAGTCATAACTTGCAACCGCAACTTCGCTTCAAAATATAAGGTGTGCAATTCCAAAATATAAAATAATAACCAGGTGGAATACAAGGCACTGGAGATGGTGGTGGAAGAACTGAAGCCGAGGACGAAGTAGATACTGAATCTTTCAAAGGAACAGACGAACCGCAAGTGTCACTAGATTGTGGCTGGGGACGAACCTGTAATCAAATCATTTCATCACTAGGCCATCAAAAAATCCGCTTCATTACCTTTGCAACATTAGGACCGTGTAACGACCCAGTCCCTGCCGCTGAGGACTGTGATTTGTCGTTTAGCTGTGTAATAGAATTGCTTCCAACTGCATTTTCCAAAAGGCTATTCGGGAACTGCTGCTGCCCTGTCCAGAAATCTTTAACCTAGAAAATGGGAACAAATGCAGGAAGTTCATGCGATACACTTAACAACATACTAAGGAGGAGAACTTGTACCTTGTCGAGTTTCTCCTTCAACCTTTCATCATCATTTTGCTCCATGCTCAAAGTTTTAAGTGAGCCTCCCTCCATATGATCTCCATTAACTCCGATACTTTTCGATGAATTCTTCGAAGACTAAATAAAAACTGTTTCATTTATACAAGATGAATTAAATATGGGTCATTCCGATAAACTTACGTATTATCACAATAAGCTGTTGCATAAAACCCTTACCAAAGGTTGCGAACTATCCTGCAGCGTCGGATCAAAAGTAAAATCATATTTTCCGCTCTCTGGACGAGTAGGAGGAGAGTTGAAATTTGCAGTAAATTCAACGGTAGTTTTCTTTACTGAGGCATTGGAACATGAATCATCAAGCTGTAATAACTTTTCACCAAAATTAACCGCTAATAACTTTTGTAGTGCACTAAGTTCTCCTGTTCAAAAAAAATTTCGAAATTCATCAAGCAGCAAATGAAAATAATGCTTATTTTATCTCATAAAACTTCTGGCTTTCGCTTCAAACAGCGAAAGATAAACGTCAAATCAGAACCAACCATAAAACTACTTTGAAAGGAGATAACTGATACTAGAAAATACGCAGGAAAATTTTTGAAACCCTGCACAACAAAAAAAATTGAAGTGAAAAGCACCGGTGTAGAGACACCAAATCCAAAAGAACGCTATAAGAAAGATGGGTAAAACCAAATAAGTATTTCGGTAAACGACCTTTTTAGACATAGTTTGTCGCTGTTCTTCATCCGGCCTTGTCCACGCTTCAACCGTTTTTTGAGCAGAATGAATGGTGGAAGAAGCACTTGTACCTGTTTTATGAACGGGACGAGCAATCGGCGATGGTATCACAGGATGGCTGAAAAAGCTTCATACTACTGAAAAGAAAAAAGGACGGTATTTAAAATACAAAACGAAAATGAAAAACCTCAAATTTAAACCCCCATCAAATACTGAAACACACACACGCACAAACATAAAGTCCTACTTGTCAAGCGGCGGTAGGCCTTGTTCCTTAATAATTGAACTATTCCACACAGTTGTGTTTAACATTGCTGGAGAGCTCCTCGTTAACCCTGAGCCAACAGAACTGTTATTCTGCTGCTCTCCCAAAACGCGACCAGCATTGCCACCAGCTGCGTTTGCTACTTTGGTATCCTTTCCAACCGTAACTCTTCTGTCCATCTTCCTTGTTAACTGCCGCATTTTCCTCTTCTCCTTTTCCTTCTCCTTTTGCTTACGACGTTCCTGTAGCGTAGTCAGTATTAAAAAGCCACTTGAAAACGTAAACAAAAAAAAAAAAAAAAAAAAAAAAAAAAAAAAA